CCTTTTCTCACTTCCTGGCACCTCCCCTAGGAGGTGCCCCTTTCCTTTCTTGGAAATGCCCCCTCTGGACAGGCCCGCCAGAGCCTAGACCATGAGACCATGAGGCGAGGTGGGCATCTGGGCAGAGTGAAGGTACCTGTTGGAGTGCTCCTGGACCACCTCGAACATGCTGACATGGAGAGTTGTGTTGAGTGGGTGGGTGCTGGGTTCTTTATATATCCGGAACTCAGCCGCTGTGACAGCCTCCCCAGCAGGGATCTGGGTGAGGTCAAAGAGGAATTCCTTCCAGTGTGGCTCCTGGTAGTCCAGGGTACGGTCTCGCTCCACTGGAAGACAAAGTGGGAGTGAGGTCATCACCGGGAGCCAGGATGGCTTGTGCTCAGAGTAGGACCCCAGGCAGCCTGAGTGGGGTCGGCTCCTGCTCTCCACACAGGCTTGTGGTCTGCTCTAGGAGCACACCAGGCCCCAGGAGGCGGTATAGTGGGAAACTCAGCAAGTGCTCACCAGGTCCCTGGACCCATCAGTGAATCAAAACGTCTTCTCTCAGAGCTCCTGAGCCAATGGCAAGATGGACATTGGTCCCAAGGCAGAACATTATCACAGTTCCAGGGTAAAAGCCTATCTACAGGGACATAATTGGCTGAATTTTGGTGGGACAGAGGACACCCAGAGCCTGCCCTTGATGAGAGGGTGGGGTGGGGGAGCTCAGATGTGACAGCTGAGCTGAGCTGTCAGTTCTGTTTGAATTTCCCTCTGTGTCCTGAGAGAGGGATGTGCAGAGTGCAGGCCACATTACAAAGTCGGCCGCTGAAGGACCTTAGGAAATGGAGGGACACCCAGTGCCATCAACCAGGGCACAAAGGACATACATGTCCTCTAGGGTACAGAATAAAAGTGGAAGAACAGAAGTAGAAAGGAATAAAAATCACACGTAGGATAACAAACTCCTGGACAGGCCATCAAGTGCTGGAAGAAGTCTGTCCCACTGTGTTTTGGGAGCTAAACAGGCTTCTTGGAGGAGGGGAGCTTTCAGAAGGTCCTGGAGGATGACGGGAAGCAGTCTTAGCAGATGGCAAAGGGTACTCTAAGTGAGGAGAGATGCTGTGCACTGGTGAGGGGCTGCTGCACACAGACCACCATTGTGGGGTGTAGCATTGAGTTAAGTGGGGGCATGTCTGCAGTGAGCTGGATCCCAGCGCTGAGAACACTGCTGTGCTCTGACCAGTGGGAGCCACGTAGTGGGGGAGCCCAACTACAAGACCCCATGAAGGTGAGGGGAGGAGAGGATGGGGGTGACAGCTGAGGTGGGCCAGGGTGGGGACAACTATCAGGGCAGAGGCTAAATCTGAAGAACATCCCACATCGGCCCAGCTGCACAGAAATGCCCACAGAAGAATATTTAGGGAAGTCTCCTTTTTCTTTCTTCTTTGTTTCCTTCCTCCTTTCTTTCTTTGTTTCCTTCCTCCTTCCTTTCTTTCTTTCTTTCTTTCTTTCTTTCTTTCTTTCTTTCTTTCTTTCTTTCTTTCTTTCTTTCTTTCTTTCTCTCTTTCTTTTTCTTTCTTTCCTTCCTTTCTCTCTTTCCTTCCTTTCTCTCTTTCCTTCCTTTCTCTCTCTCTCTCTCTCTCTTCCTCCCTTCCTCCCTTCCTCCCTCCCTTCCTTCCTTCCTTCCTTCCTTCCTTCCTTCCTTCCTTCCTTCCTTCCTTCCTTCCTTCCTTTTGTTTGTTGTATTTAGGGATAGGATTTTTCTGTATAGCCCTTGCTCTGCAGACCAAGCTGGCCTCAAACTCAAAGAGATGCACCAGCCTCTGCCTCCTGAGTTCTGGGATTTAAAAAGTATGCTACCACCATCCAGGCCCTCCTTTCACTTTCAAATGCCAAAAAACTCTGAGTTGCCAGGAAGCAGGGGCTGAAGCAGGCCAGTGTCTTCTCCAACCCTAACAGAGATTTTATTTCCAAGTCTTCAACAATTCCCTCTGTGGTACTAGGCTTTCTGACCACAAGCCAGGTTCTACAAAGCACCAGGTTGAACTGTTAGAGCAAAGCTGAAGCCAGCTTGCTGTCTTTCCGTGAGGACCTAAGCTTGCAGTGGCCGGCACACAGCAGGGCTGGGGTGGCCTGGGTGACAGGTTCTCCTCTACAGAGGCAGGTAGGAGGCTCCAGCCCCAGGATGGGAACGATAGAGTCTCCTTACACCTCAGCATGTCTCCGAAGTTTTACCGTCAGAACAAGTGTTTGGGAGTCTCTCTCTAACAGCTGTGGTTCTCTGCCCATTTCTGCACAGCTGTCCTAGACCGTGGGAACACCGAGGTGAACAAGACAGGTAAGCCCAGCACCAATGGGGTTTAAAAAACAAGGGAGGGCCAGGTGGTGGCGCATGCCTTTAATCCCAGCACACAGGAAACAGAGGCAGACAGGTCTCTGCGAGTTTGAGTCAGCCTGGTCTACATAGTGAATTTCAGGACAGCCAGGGCTACATAGTGAGACCCTGTTGAAGAAGAAGAGGAGGAGGAGCAGGAGGAGGAGAAGGAAGAAGAAGAAAGAAAGAAAAAGAAGAAAAGAGGAATGTAATGATAAAAACAATCTGTAAATGTGTGAGGTATAGGGTTTGATCCCACACCATCCCCCCTCAAAAAAAAGTCAACTAGGAAATGTCATTTCTTTGTAGCTGGTGTTAAGGCAAGAGAAGGGGTCATAGGTTCAAGAATGATGGAGAAGAGTTGGATGCTTTCCACAAGGTCAGTACAGCCTTTGAGAAAGTAATAGTTAAGATCAGACAGGTAAACTGTCACCAGGTAAGACAGATACAGATAGCAATGCTGTGTAGAGACATTTTGCAAAATCAAGAGAATTGACCATGCTGTGCAAGAATCCCAGACATGCTGGGCAAAACCATCGAAAGATATGCAAAAAGCAATGCCCTGGCCACAGAGAAAGTGACACTCAGTTCCACAGGTACCTGTGCTGGCTAGCTTTATGTCACTTTGACAGAAGCTAGAGATATCTGAGAAGAGAGAACCACAGTTGAGACATTACCACCATAAGATGGACCTGTGGGAAAGCCTGTAGGATACTGTCTTGATTAATGATTGAAATGGAAAGACCCCGCCCACTGTGGGCGGTGCCACCCCTTAGCAGGTAGTCCTGAGTTGTATAAGAAAGCAAGTTGAGCAAGCCACATTGAGCAAGCCAGTAAGCAGCTTTCCTCTGTGGTCTCTATTTCAGTACCCAGCTCCAGGGTCCTGCCTTGCTTGATTTCCTTCCCTGACTTCCCTTAGTGGTGTAGTGTGTCAGTGGGGTATGTCCCCTCTAGATGGTGAGCTCTTTAGGGCAGTAACTGAACATGGCTGGTGGATGGATGGACGGCAGCAGCCTGTTCATCAAGCCACTCTGTTCCAGGGACAGAGAGAGTGACCTTCTGTTCTTCCCCAGGACACTGGCTCAGTGTCCATCACTCACAGCTCCTGGGGCTGGGGTCTACTGCTGGTCTGAGCGACAGCCACGTCACAGCGAGTCTCCATCAGAGGCCACTGGTGTCTGCACTTGCTGTGAGATTTGCCTCCTTCCCTGGCGGGGCCTTTGAGGGTGGGGACAGGTTCCCAGGCCCTGAGGAGGCGGGGCCGGGCATGACTGCCATATGATGCTGGTACCAAAGGCTGAGGGCCCCACAACAGACTTACAAGACCCTGGGCTCATGCAGGACCTCAGAGGAGGGTGGGGCCCTGGGGCTGGTGACCTGTGCAT